TGAGCAAAGCCTAACAGCTACTCTGTGTTAGAGGTGCACAAAATAGCTTTAGAAACCACAGAGCTTCTACCACAGAAAACCACAGAACCACACGATCCTATAATTTGAAGAGTGGACAAACTTTTTTTGGCACTTCTTGTGGATGGAGGACTGAAGTGTAGAGCCAGTCAATGTTTTCAGGCAGTTTGTAAATGGCTGTGAGTAACCAAGGGCTCACAGGGGCTGAAATGCATCGTCCCTGCACGAAGTGAGCCACAGCCAGCACCAAAGCTTAACTCCCCCAGCCATGATCAGCTGCAAAACTGAATCTAAAGTGAACTTCCAGAAAAGCCAGAGGGTTTCTAGTCCAACCTTCCACTTTAGGGTTGAAAAAAAGGGATTTGAAAGCGCCCTGCCTGCTGGCTCACCGGGTGCTGGGCTGTACCCCAGGGTACTGGGGTGGTGCTGGGCTGTTTCAGGGTTCTGGTGTGGTGCTGGTGTGATTGGTACTGGTGTGGTTGGTGCTGATGTGGTGCTGGGCTGTTTCCCAGGGTACTGCTGAGGTGCTGCTGTGGTGCTGGTTGTGCACAGGGTGCTGGTGTAGTGCTGGGCTGTTTCCCGGGGCGTTGGTGTGATTCTGCTGTGCTGTGCTGTTTCAGGGTGCTGGGGTGGTGCTGGGGTGGTGCTGGGCTGTACTGGTTGTACTCAGGGCTCTGTGTCGCCCTCGAGCGCTGAACGGACCGAAGGACTGTAAAGTCCCCACAGCGGCAGGACCCGGGGCTGTTCGGGCTGTTTGGGGGTCACAGGACACGGGGCTGTTTAGGGCTGTTTGAGGGTCACAGGACACGGGGCTGTTTGGGGATCACAGAACCCGGGGCTGTTTGGGGGTCACAGAACTCGGGGCTGTTTAGGGCTGTTTGAGGGTCACAGGACCCGGGGCTGTTTGGGAGTCACAGGACCCGGGGCTGTTTGGGAGTCACAGGACCCGGGGCTGTTCGGGGCTGTTTGAGGGTTACAGGACCCGGGGCTGTTCAGGGCTGTTTGGGGGTTACAGGACCCGGGGCTGTTTGGGGGTTACAGGACCCGGGGCTGTTCAGGGCTGTTTGAGGGTTACAGGACCCGGGACTCTTTTGGGATTGCAGGACCCGGGGTGTTTGGGGGTCACAGGACCGGGGGCTGTTCAGGGCTGTTTGGGGTTTACAGGACCCGAGGCTGTTCAGGGGTCACAGGACCCGGGACTGTTTGGGGGTTACAGGACCCTGGGCTGTTTGGGGCTCACAGAACCCGGGGCTGTTCGGGCTGTTTGGGGGTTACGGTGTCTCTGCAGACGAGTTCCCGTGTCGGGGCCGGTTTTAAGGTTTAACGGACTCTCCCGACAGGTGAGAGAAAAACCGTTCTCAGCAGAACGGAACACAACGCTCTGAAGCCCCGCGTGGATGAACTGACCGGGCAGGGGCTCCTCGGGATGGTGCCCTAGCTCAGAAATATTTGCTAAAACTTTCACCAGGACCTTTGTGCAGGATTTGCTCGTTTCTACACTGAACGAGCTCTATCTAATCTCACAATCTATCTTGCAACAATAGTGAGCCCATCGCTGCGGTATCTTAGAAGAATATGTGTGAAAATCTTGTTTACAACGGACTCTACATTTCCTCCCATCGGGGTTAACTACAACCTCTGTTGTTTTTTCCTTTCCCTGGCATGACAAAATCAAATCCAGGATCGCTGCAGATCGCGGTGGCTGGATGCTCCCTAGGAGGCAGCTGGTTAATTAGAACAAAATTACTTGAGAGATGACAACCTGATGGTCTGTTATTAGAAGATGTGGAGCGTTAGTGATTTCCTGCTGACCAGGGGAGGCTTGGGAGATTACTGGAATTACATCTTCGGATGTACTCATTTAAGACAATTAAAGAAAGAAAAAAAAAAGAAAAAAGACAAAGAGAGTTACAATTACTCATAATGGAATGTGAGAAGAGTGAGATCAGCATCTCTTTTTTTCTGCTACAAGATGATCTCAAGATTCAAGAACCTGCAGTTTCCTGTAAAGACCACACAGCAATTATCACGTGCCCTCCCTTTAACTTTAATGACAGTTTCTCGTGAACTTTTATTAGTGTTTTGTCCCCCATCCCTCCCCACTTTCAGAGGCCTGTGTTTATATATTTTTATATGAGGTCTTTGATATTTATACCTCTGCCCTATTTTCAGTTGAGTCACAGATCTGAAAGCTCAGAGGGCACAACCTGCTCCTCCTTGTGTTGCCTCCACCGTTCCTCGGGGTTTGGGTGTTATTTGGTACCAGTATCAGGCAGATAAGGAGTGTTTTATCTGAAGACTTTCTAGCGAGCAGGAGAAGAGGAGCAAAAGTGATGACCCTCCCAGCCAGACCCTTCACTGGAGCCAAGGCAGGTTTGGATGCTCCCATGCTGAGGTGCTGGAGGAGGAGCTCCCACCGTGGTGGGTGATGCAGAGGAGCCACACGAGGGTTTTTTGAGGGTTGGTGACTGTGGTAACATTTGTCTCTGCACAGGCACTGCAGAACCATCTGCTCTGTGCTGGGTCACCACTGCAGCTGCCTTCCACCCCTGGAATCCCAGAATCCCAGAATGGTTTGGGTTGGAAGGCTCCTAAAATCCCATCTAGTTCCATCTCCTGCCATGGGCAGGGACACCTTCCACTAGCCCAGGTTGCTCCAAGCCCCATCCAGCCTGGCCTTGGACACTTCCAGGGATAGAACAGCCACAGCTTCTCTGGGCATTCCATCCCAGCCCCTCACCACCCTCAAAGGGAGGAATTCCTTCCCAATATCCCACTGAAATTTCCCCTCTTCCACTTTGAAGCCACTCCCCCTTCTCCTGTCCCTCCATCCCTTGTCCCAAGTCCCTCTCCAGTTCTCCTGGAGTCCCTTTAGTCTCTGAAAGGGGCTCTGAGGTCTCCTTGGAACATTCTCTTCTCAGGAACAGGGATGTCACACCTCTGTGTCTCTTCTAATTATGTCACAAAACAGTGAATAGTTTAAGCTTGCACTGCATCCCTGACACCTGGGAATCACTAAAACTATTTCTAGCTCTTCAGAAAGAACGAGGGAAAGCCAGCTGAGTACCAAGAGGTAAAAGTAAGGATTTAAAAAGTTGTTTTCTTAAAGTTATAAACACCAAAGGACGTGCTGAAATATGAAAATCTTCAGCTATGGGGAAAGAGAAGGAAATACCTAGAACTGTTGCAACAATGAATGTGCCAAGTTTAGAACATCTTTAAGTCATCCTCACTTTCTGGAATCAGATTGTGCAATTTTATTTTTTTTCTAACGAATAAATGAGTGTTGTTTTTGATGAAGAAACGTTAAAGCTCCCTTATATTTCACTTTGAAAGAGCTATAAAAGTGAAATGTGGAACTCATTCTTCCATGCCAATGATTAGAAGCCCAAAATACATCTGTTCCACATGAACAACTGCAGCCTTTGCTTTCACAGAAGAACAGCTATATTTGCACTTACTCTAAATGTATTCCTGTTGATTTCATTCTTGTGTATTTTCTAACATGTTAAGTCAGAAAAAGATGTCACAATCTTGATTAAAATCAAGTTCTATGTATCCAGATGTTAAGGAAAAAAAATGCTGCAATATTAAGCTGAATCTGCATATTTGATTAACAGTGATTTTTGTCCTACAAGTATCAAAACTCACCATTAAACTTGAGCTGTAAAAACAGAGGATCCTTGTCAGAGTTTCAAATAACTTGCTCAGATTTACTCCTTGGACTTCTGAGCTCGTTTACAGCTGGGGAAGAGCTTTTGGGGAGACTCAATTTGGCTTTTGCAACTATTTACTGCTATAGCTGTTGCAGTATCCAGTTTATTTGTGATTAGTTTTCAGAATCTGGACTCCTGACTGATTTCCTCCCCCTCCATCCCCCCTCCTCCCCAAATATTTAATATCTTTCTTAACTCCTGAAATCTAGGTGGGACTACAAACTATTAAGTGAATTCAAGTTTGGGGGAATGAGTTATGAAGGTGTTTTAACCTGTGCAGTGAATTTGTGCTTGAATTCCACCACTGTTCTATTGGAATTCTGCACTGAGCTCCTGAGAACAAGGATAATTTATGTATAAGAATGCCTTAAAATAAGCCTCCGTAATTACAAAAATGCAGTGTTTAAATTTATAGTAAAAACCCACACACTGCTGGCAAAACTATAACTGCATCTGGAAAACATTAAGGATGCTATTAAAATAGTTTAGCATAAACTAGAAATGAGACTGAAATTACAGTGTTGCTTACTTAACCATTTTTAGGAAGTATGTTTTGAATATGATCTGCTTTCCTAGTTGAGTTTTTGATAAAGCACTGTACTGTATCTTATTTACCACTGAGAATGAATTACTTACTCTGTTGTCTGTTTTAGAAAAATCCATGGCTCAGATTTTTTAAAGTGCCTTCTTACAGTTGCTGGTGATTTAAAACAAAACCGAGTGGTTGCTGGTCATCAGGGGAAAAGTAACAGGGAGATCTCAAAGGAGAATAAAAATCACAGGAATTAAAAACTTATTTTATTAAAAAGATGAAATGCTTTCAAACATTGAAAAATTACGTTTTTATAAAAACAGAAATAGGCAAAATACCCATTTGTCTTCTATTTACATATACAATATTTCTCATTGTATAAAATTATTTACAATATATAAAAAAATTACAGTAAAATAGGTTATTTTCTTACAAGACATCAAGCCCTGTACTTCTAGTGTAGATCATGGCAAACAAGAATATTATTGCACCTGTGAACCAAACAGTCTAACAAGAGGAGTGTTCTCTTAGCCATGCCTTCAACTGAGATCTAAAATAACATTGTTAGCTACAGTAACATTCATTTTATCTCTTCTAGGGTCAACTTCAGGCAGTTTCCATACAAACATTGTCTTGTAAAGCTTAGGACTGGGCGGTTAGAATCGGAAAAAAAAAATAACAAAACATATTTACAGCTTCTTCTGTACAGTCTGTATGGAGTCTTATGGAGTTTACCCTTCACAGAAGCTGCATAAATAATAACCCCTGTTCTCCTGACCGGGACGGGCAGGTCACTGATACAGTCACGGCAGATTCTCTGCAGGAGATTCCTGGCTAAGCCTCCTTGTGTCAAACCCTCAGCGTCCGTCCTGGAGCGTCGGTCGGTCGGTCGGTCGGTCGGTCGGTCGGTGCCTCCCCACGTAGTACCAGCTACAGGTTTTTTAACGCTCTTCTGCACCTGAGCAGTTCAAACATCGTCCACAACACCGGCGGGGCGGAGTCCCCGGCACTACATGTGGCGCTTCATGTGCAAGGCCAGGTGGTCGGACCTGGAGAAGGCCCTGTCGCAGAGGTGGCACTGGAAGGGCCGGTGCCCCGTGTGTTTGCGGTAGTGGCGGGTGAGCTCGTCGGAGCGGGCGAACTTCCAGCCGCAGCCTTCCCAGTTGCAGTGGTAGGGCTTCTCACCTGGTGGGGAGAGCGGAGAGTGGTGACTCAGCAGGGCACTCCCACGGCAGCCAGGCAGCCTCCCGAGCTCACCCCTACCCGAGTGCCTTAAACCTAAACAGAACTGCTCCAGCGATTCCCTTACCCACCCGTACCTGCCGTGAAAAAGGCAGGAAAACACCTGGACGTTACAGCCCTGCCCACCTGTCGCAGCTCTGTGAGCACGCCCGGACTTAACAGTTAAAGCCCCGTTTTAAAGCAGACTGTTCAACCCAGGGCTACCCCAGCCGGCCCGCAGAGCATCCCCGGGTGAAGCCACCAGCCCTGGTTACCTGTGTGTGTCCTGAGATGGGCCTTCAGGTGCGAACTCTTGGTGTAGGTCTTCCCGCAGCCCGCGTAGGTGCACGTGTGAGTGGCCGTCCTCTTCCTCGGCCAGGACCGACGGCCCCGCTTTGGTTTGGAGTCCAGCAGCTCCAGAGGGGAGGAAGGAGGGGTGAGCATGCCCCGGGGAGCCGAGGGCTGTAAGGGCAGGCTGTCCTCGAAAAGGCCAAACTGGGAGGTGTTCTGGTACTGGAGGTGGGTCTGCGGGTGGTGGAAGCCGGAGGCCGGGTGGTAGCTCTGCTGGAAGGGCACGGACGAGGGGCACATCATCTGCGTGTGGCAGTCATTCACCATGAGATCGTCGGGGCTCAGCGGGGGCGTCTCTGCCCCGGGGATCTGGGGGGAACTGGCCACCCGGGGCTGCTCGTAGGCCATCATGCAGGTCGCGTTGCCCTCCTGCTTAATCTTTGGGCAAGCCTGGGGCACCAGACCCAGCACCGGTCCATAATTGTCCATGTCGGGTTCGGGCTTAATGTTCTCAACGAACTGCGGCCCCCCGAAGGTGGGTGTCACGAAGAACCGCCCGTGGACGCTGCCAGGAGGGCAGTAGCTGGAGTCCATCTCGGAGCGCATCATCTCCGGCACGATGCCGGCGCTGTAGGGCGGGGGGCTGCCCTGCTCCAGGGCACTGTAGCATCCCGGGGATGGGTTTGTCTGGTAAAAGCCACCGCTCTCGCCTTGGGCGGGGGGATAGTCCCCGCCGGCAGCGCCCTGGCCGTAGCCATCGCTGCCCATGGAAAGGATAAAATCCAGCACGTTGTTGAGATCTTCATCCTCTTTGCGCGGCGAGAGGCCGCCCCAGGTGCCAGCGGGGGTCTTGGCCTCCTGCTCGCATTTCCACCTCTGGGGAGAGAGAGAAAAGTGACAAGGTTAGAGGTGCGTTCGCCTTGGGGGGGACCGAGGGGACAGAGCCGGGGGTGCGGCGGAGCCGCGGCTCCGCCGCCCATCCCTGCGATGAGCCGTCGGTGCTCTGCGCCGGGGGACGCTCGGACACTCACTTCGTGCAGCGCTTTCTCGCGGCAGGGGCTGGCGAAGGTGGCGAAGGAGGGCAGGGCCGTGTCGCTGAGCGCCATGGTGCGGGACGAGCGCGGCCGGCCGCCCTCCGCACCTTATAACGCGGGCGCGGGCGGCCTCAGGCCAATTGCAGGAGCGGAGGAAACGCGTCCCGGACGGGGCGGGCGGGGAGGCAGCGGCTCGGGCGCAGCCTAAATTTAGCCCCGGTATAAAAGGACGCGGCGGCGGCGGTCCCAGCCCGAGCGGGGCGGAGCGGAGCCGAGCGGGGACGGGCCCCCTTCGCCGCCCTCCCCTCGGCGCGGGGATCGCGGCAGGGCCGGGGGGCGGCCGGGGAGCCGCGACCCCCGCCCGGGGCAGCGGCCGGAGAGGGGAAACTGAGCGGTCCGTGTGCCCCGGCACCGGGAGCCGGGGGGAATCCGAGCGGTCTCTGTGTCCCCTCGGGACACCGAGGGATGAAGCATCGCAGAGGGGTCCCAGCCCTGGGGATACTGAGGGACCCTCCCTCATGAGGGGACCGTGTGTGAGAGACACCGTGAGGGACCTCTGTGGGATGGGGGAACAAAGGGACCCAGCCCTGAAAGACACAAGGGACTGTCTGTGACATGAGGGGACACTGATGGGGCCAAGCTCTGACAGGGACTGTGAGGGACCTGCTGTGGGATGGGGGACACTGGGGGGTTCCTGCCCTGGAGGCACCAAAGGGCTGTGAATGGGGGAACACTGCTGAGTCCAAGCTCCACCACACCGTGAGGCACCTGCTGTGGGACAGGCAACACTGAGGGCTCCCTGTCCTGGGGATGCTGAGGAAGACACCATGAATGAAGGGTTTGATCCCCCCACACCTCAGAGCAGCTGCCCCATGATCCAGCCTCATCCCTGGAGCACAGGGTGGGACCAGACCCAGAACACGAGGGTGGGAGTGGAAGGAGTCCAGAGCACAGGCAGGGACACAGATGCCCTGCTCCCATGTGTAAACTGGTGAGCTGGTGACAGGGGCCCCCTGCATTGGTCACCCTAAATGTCTCAGACACATCTCAGTGCTGATAGAAAGGTGTTTAATGCCACTCTTGTACGGTCTCTGCTGGAGTTTTGCGCTTAATGGAAGTCCAGGTCTCTAGCAGAGTTTCCATTTGCTGCACAAAGTTTGCCAAAATCAACGTTGCCCTGTGACATTATGAGAGAAATAATGCAAGTAGCTTCTGTGATCTCCTCTGGTCGTAGCCAATTTATGGTCCTGGGCTGGATTTCTCAGAAGGGAAGACTGTTCTTCTCCCTTACCTTGGCCTCTGGCTCAGATGCCAGTCTTAAGGAACAATTCTCCAATAAATTCTGATAACGCGCCCCAGACTCCTGTTTTTGAGGATCACAGCTGCTTGGCTGCCATCCAAGAGTGAAAGAGCAAAAGTGACGGTTCTGAAAGGGGGGAAAATGATGATCTATCCCAGGACAGACCGATCCTTTGAGAGCCTGTTCAGAGGCAGAGCTGTGCTTTCCTCTTACCTCCTCCATATTTCCTCTGCAATCACTTCTAAAAGGATTTCTGAGCGAGCTGGGTGTCAGAGGAGCACAGGAGAACAGCTCTCACTTTTATGCCTGGTGTGCCCAGGGAGGGGAAAGGGGGATTCCCTTGATGGGCTTTGCTTCTCCCGGGGCATTTTGAGCCAGTTCAGCAGAGCCCATCCCAGGCTGGTGCAACCATCTCTGGAAAGCTCAGTCGCTGGGCTGAGTAAACGATCGTTTCAATAGCTCCACATGTTTTAAAACCGGGAGTATCTCCCGTTTAACTTTCTATAGTTTTTATTCGAAAAGTTCACAGGCTGGCCAGGAGGAGCAGCCAAACTCCTGTGACTGGAGCAGAATCAATATACTGAATGCATGGTAACGCCGTACACAAAGATGTGACTCATGGCTCTGTAATGTCACACTTGTGTAATCTTTCAATGTAAACTCTTTTCCTCTAATAAAATGCTCGTAAGTGAACGATACGTATATATGGGGCTGTGAGTCAGCCAAGAAAATATACTCTGATGAATTCAGAATGAATGTGAACGTTCCCTTGATAACACACCCCGAGCGTCTGTGTCAGTTTATGTGCTTGTGATTTCAGCAACAGCTATAACAAAATATTTTGTTTCTAGGATATACAACTGGACGTGGAGGTTTCACCGAGGAGTCCAGTCGGATGCTGCCTTCCAGTAGGCACTGGAAGGACTTTGTTTACAGCCCTGCACTGGCACCAAACTCTGCTTTTTCTTTGTGTAAGGGAAACGTTTAGCGGGCACAGCGGATGAAAGCAAAGCTCAACAAATAACAACTTCACGGCCTAAAAAAATCGAGAGCTGCACTAAACCTGGGGAGACAAACGGGAGAATTTATTTACCTTGTGAGTCACTGGGCTCTGAGCAAATTGAGAACAACTTTGCCATGACCTTCCACTCGGTCCATGACAGTTGTGCTGACATTTGCAGGCTTTTTGCTGCTCACAACGCTTATTTTAAATATCTAAACCCAAGTCCCTGGCAGTGATCTCACTCAGCGTAGATCAGGAGTGATGCCACTGGTGTATAAATGTGAAGAATGTGAGATTAGAAAGTATTTGTTAATCTGCTGTGGGTAGAGGAGAGCTCAATGATGTGTGATTTGTCTTCCAGCCAACGTAAACACGGACTCAACCATTTTTATATGGCAAAGTTGATTTTTCTAGGTGTTGCTGCTGATCTCCCTTGTTGCTTTTAGATCAAGAGAAACTTTTTAAGGGATTGCCATCAGGATTTTGCAGGTTACTCGAAGAATCCAAGCCGGGGCTGTGCTCAGTGGAGCTCTGCGGCTGGATGGGTTGGTGCAATGCCCACGTCACCTGGCTGTTCGAGCTCTGAGTCACCGCGCTACTCAAACAAACAAACAAAACCCTCCTTTCTCGGGGATTGTTCTCAGAAAGTCCTGATTGCACCTAGAGCAAACGTAATAGTATTAATAGCAGGGTAAACGAGCCGAGAATGAGACCTCTTAGCTCCTTAGAGAAAATCACAGTACCGGTAACATCCCCCTTCATATTGAAATGAAAGTTATCAGAGGATTTCCCTGCCTGCTCTCAAATTGACAGTTTTGTTGACTGTACATTTTTTTTTTTTACTAATTTAAACTGCAGGTTCTGAGTTAGCGCTTTTTAGAATCTGCTCTCAAGGAAGTTGATAAAATGATGTAAACGACCACATAAAATGAAATATACGGGTATGTGTTGGAGACGCACTTCTTAATTTGGGGAGAGAGACTTAATCCTCTAGGTCTTTTGTCTGATTAAAGTAACACCATGAACTAATTGGAGAAAGGAGCCTTTTTGACCAGACCTTTCATGACTGGAGCTCGTTCCCATGCAGGGACTCACAGACAAAGATGAACCATCTCTTTGATGAGCTGGTGTTGAAGGGGCTCATTAAGTTTTTAGTTAAGACATATTTTCCTTTAATATTTTTTCTGTAATTCTCCTCCGAACCATCTGCATATTTCCAAAGTGTTTTTGTGAGGTCTGAGCACTGGAAAAGTGGAGCAGCAGACAAATACAAGACACCTCTCTTTAGACAAGGACTCGAATTGTACCCTCTGTTATGGTCTTGTACTGAGTCACTGCCTGGCAAAGTCCTCCTCTCCCCCAGCTCCTTCATGCCATGGAGTGACAGGACAAGGGGAAATGGCTTCAAACTGACCAAGATTAGGTTTAGATGGGATATTGGGAAGGAATTCTTCCCTGTGAGGGTGGGGAGGCCCTGGCACAGGTTGCCCAGAGAAGCTGTGGCTGCCCCATCCCTGGAGTGTCCAAGGCCAGGTCGGAGCAAGCTGGGATATTGGAAAGTGTCCCTGCCCATGACAAGGAGTGGAACAAAACGATCCTTGAGGTCCTTCCAAGCCAAACCATTCTGTGATTCCATGATTCTGCCTTAGCTCCTGGGCCCAGGGCAGCACCACCACGTGCACCCTCTGCTCTCAGTGCTGGTTCAAGGCTTTTTGAGAAGATTTAATTTGTGACAGTGTTGAAAGCAGAGCACATGGGACATGGGGGGAGACTGAAAGGTGGAACAGAGCCCTGGGAGGCCTGGTGGAAATGTTGGTGGCAGGCCTGGGAAGCATCAAAAGGTGCTTGGAAAAACTGGGAGGAATCCAGGTTAGTTAGAACTGCAGGGATGGGAGGTAGAGGCTGCAAAAAGATGCCATGGAAACAAACATCTGACAGCAGAGCAACTTTGATGCCCCAATTTTTCTACCTGTTGGTCTAGGTAAGAACTGATTTTTGCTATCCCAAAAAGCAGGGCTGCTTGCATGTTCCATTCCTAGAAGTGTGGCCTTCAGCTATGGCCATGTGTGGGGTCTGTGTCTACCTGGGTAGTTAAAATAATCCTTTAACAATTACATGTTCTTCAAATCATGTTGCATTTCCTTGAGCTTTGTCATCTAGGACTTTATCAGTACCAATTTCTGTTTTCTTCCAGGTCATTGTTAACAACACTGAATGGCAAGGGATGATAAAAAAAGATCAAGAACTAATAAACCTGCTTGATTGAAATCTAAATTCAATCTCCAGATGTATCAGGCTGTGGTTGGACCAATTTGCATGTGCACACCCTGTTCATTTGTCGTGTGCTTGTTTCTTATTGTGAAAATCACCCTGCACATCCTTATTTGAAACACCATTGTCATTAACCAAACCACCTTTATTTAGAATTCCTTTTATGTCTCAAGTCCTCCCAGTCTCCTGCCCAGGTTTATGTAACACTGACAGGCATATCTGGGTCATTCTGTTTACCCTGTTGTAATATTGACATAATATTCACATTCCTCAAGTCACCTGGGGCTTCCCCACTGCTCTGAAATGGATTGATAATAAACATTAACCATCTGGATATGTCCTTAGTTGGTGCTTTTGAAACACTCACTGGTTACCCAGACCTGGCAACTCAATATTGTTTGAGATGAGTAGCAGTTGTTTTAACATCCTCCTTAGTTACTGGAATGGAAAGTATTTCAACATCATTATTGTCTGATCTCAAGACAGCATCTGGCTTTGTCCCAAAGAGAGAACAGAAATATTT